ATGGCTCAAAGACACATTCAAAAGGGAGATAAGGCTAGAAAAGTCACTATCTGAATGATGAGGGCTTAATAGCCCGCTCAAAAAGAGGTGTCAAGGATGAAAGTAATGCATCATGATCATTATATATGTATACTTACCTGAGAAATATAGGTACCATTTTCTTCATAGGATTTTCATCTTCTCGAAAGTTTGAGTCTCTAATAGTAAGTTTTGATGGCTCTTTACACTCTTGTTTACTCAAGTCATATCTTATGATCATGACCTCTAGGAGGGATCGAATAGTTTTTTAATATATTTACCTTGACAAATCCTTATACCCCCTAATTTGATCAGCAGATACCATTTCTTTCAAATTATTTATGTATATATTTTGACAATATATTAAGCCTTGTCTAAACTGCTTGAGTTTAGAAAAGCCTTTCTTATAAACTTGGATAAGTTTAGAAATGGTTATCTTTGTTTGTAGGAGGAATTTTTGGAGGGTAAGCTTTGCTTTGCTATCTGGTTTCTTGTGTTTTGTTAACTGCTTGTTTGACAAGGCTTAATATAGCTCTTTAATTTGTTTAATTTTGAAATTTGAATGATTTGCTAGCTGGAGTCGCAAGTATGTATTGAATATGTACGTGTAAATTGCTTATCTAGAATTATACCTGATTATCAACCATGGATTCACAGAGATAGAGAGAAAGTGAGTCTACAACTAGTAGACATATCTTAAATTACTTTGGAGGGTAAGCTTTGCTTTGCTTTGCTTTGTGGTTTCTTGTGTTCTGCTAGCTCTTTAGTTGATAAGGCTTAATATATTGTCAAAATATATACATAAATAATTTGAAAGAGGTGGTATTCGCTGATCAAATTAGAGGGTATAAGGATTTGTCAAGGTAAATATGTTAAAAAACTATCTAGGTTTTATGCTATTTAATTTGTTTAATTTTGAAATTTCAATGATTTAAACAAGCTCTTTCTTTCTTGTAGGGAAAATAAAATGTATTTGTGATATTAAGCTAGGAATAATTTCACAATGTTGTCAACCCCTACAAGCAAAAAAGCTTAGCAAATAATACCTGGAAATTGTTACTCTCAAAATTATACGAAGGTTTGCTAATTTTCCTTGACATTTGTCCAAACTTTGGTGTGTACCTTTAATTTCATGACCATGTAAAATAGAGTTAAATTTGTTTGCCTTGCTAATCAAAAGCAATGATATAGTGCATGGTTGGCTTTGCTCCTAGCTTTCATGAAACCAACCTTGAACAATTTAAACTGTATGCTTAATAAGAAGGAGATCTTGGTACATATTGAAAGCAGGAACCATTATGCAACATCTATTCTTTGCCATTGTTATAGAGATTTATCATTGCAAATACCACAAAACCATTTCATGGAGGGTATAGTTGGGTTGGTTGTCCTCATTGGAATTGTTTGTACCAACAAGCTAAGCAGGTATGTAACTATTTATTTTATATTATTGTTAATGAGATGAAGGGCTTTAAGCACTTTCTTATGTATAATATTTTCTTTTAACATCATCATTTGCAATATATTGGCTGAGTTCAGCATATATGCATAATAGAGCTTTGTTCATGTCATTATGGAAGTAGAAAAACAAAGAATGACTATGGTTTGGATTTTGTAGGGGGAAGGCATTGAACCATACCTGTTGGTAATCTGAGTATGTATAGGAAGTATTGAAGTCCTGGGGATTTGTACGTAAGTGTATGAGGAAGGAAAGAGGTTGATATAAGGATTGTCCTTAGTCTTTAGGGTAATGACACATGTAGAATATGCTAGAATGAAGTTTGAAGTGTTTGAACTTGATAGAATTAGTAATCTTAAGGATTGTGGCATAATAGGATTGTGGTTCGGCTAAATTCCAGGGTTTGTAGTACCAATTTGAGGGGAAAATTTTGGAAGTAGTAATAGAAGGGTTTTCATGATAAAATCCTTCTTCCATAGTTAAAATATTTTGCAAAGTAGTTTTGAAAATATATTTGGATTTGGTTTTTAAAAAACTGATTTGTTGTAAAGAAAGGAGGGGCTTTGAAGTAGAAAAGCGTCCATGAGGTTTTGAAAGTGGTTTGGAAATACTACCTGTGAAGGCAATCAAAAGACTTGATGATCCTCACCTTCAAAAAACCTACTTGAAAAAATTGTTGAAAGATTGCAACCAACCAGAGCACCCTCCATCATTTAACCCTTATAAGTGCTCTATATTACCATCTACCAGCACTAATACCTATGACCTTACAAAGATCCTTAACAAAAATAAATCCAAAACCACAGTTGCCATTACAAAATTACATTCTGAGATAAAAACCCTCAAATCTGAATTACAATCCCTTAAACAATCCCAACAAAAAGACTTTTCCATACTACAACATCTTCTATCAAAAATAGAAAATCAATCTGATACTGAGTTTGATACAGAAGACCAAACCATTGAATCACATTGAAGGAAGAATGCATGTCAATTCCTTACCTGATCATTCCATTGTGAACCAAACTCTTTTTTTTTATCCTGATAATTTTTGTAAAGGTCCTGAATAATTTCCCCGTGACGAGCCTGTGTAGAGACAAGTCCTTTATATTTGGTTACTTCTGGCTAGTCCATATAAGCCACTACCCGTATCACCCCAACAAACTATTTGATACAATGAATAGAATGCAAAGGATGCATAATAGATAACCTAACATGAAAATGATAATTAAATTATAAAATCTAGCTTAACATACTGCTGCAATCGATGGGCTAGAGTCTTCCCTTGACTGTGAATAAGTCCCATCAACACCAAAAATAATAGTACGATGATAAGTTATGTTAGGAATTCTTCTTTGAATAGTATTCAAAGCTTCATCTAGAATCTATACCTCTGCAACACCTCTTCCAAATAATGTGCTACCATAAGAAAAAATGTTATAGCAATTAACAATGTTTTGTGAGGAAAACTACAGTGTTTTCTCCAATAAAATCGATAAAAATAATTTTAAAAAGATCATAGAAAAAACATTTAAACAAATACTGTAGCAATTTACAGTATTTTGTGAGAAAAACTACAATGCTTTTCCCATATAATTTAACTCTATTATAATTATAATTCTTATCTATTTTGACAATATATTAAGCCTTGTCAACCAAGCAGCTAGTAAAATACAAGAAACCAAAAGGCAAAGAAAAGTTTACCCCCTAAGGTAACTTAAGATAAGAAAGGTTTTCTAAACTCAAGCTCTCTAAAGCTACCAAATGTTGATTGGTTGTATACTCACTTCCTCTCTGTCTTTATGAATCCATGGTTGATGAACCTTCAAGCTTCAAACTTTGAACCTATATCTTCCATCCAGATCTAAAAAATATTTAAAAAAGCTAAGATCTAAGAGTGTTAGGTCTTTCTATAAAAATATACCTAAAAGTCTTGGGTCTAACTTGAACGCTTGATCCAATAGTAATATTTATAATATTAATAATACTATTAAACTTATATGACTTAAGTTTAAGGGAGTTTAGCTGCAACATCGGACCTAAGAGCATTGGATGTGGGTTTGGCTATAAGGTCGTGTTATAAAAGTGCGATAATTAAATAAATTAATAAAGAAGAAAAGAAAACGAAAAAAACCAATATGAAGAAAAAAACTAATGAAGAAAAAGAAAAAGAATTTAAATTAACTGGATTAACCATTCAAACCAGGTTAACTTGTCAAACCTGAGATTCGCATCATGAATGAAAAAAATTTACGGGTTAACCCATAATTAACTATGTTAACTTGTTAAATTCCTATCTTAAGTTACCTTTGAGGGTAAGCTTTGCTTTGCTTTATGGTTTCTTATGTTTTGCTAGCTGCATGGTTGACAAGGCTTAATATATTATTAAAATATATTATTTTTTGTTGCTATATTGCAATATTTTGTTTGGGATTCTAGGAAAGTACACATTTATCATTGTCATGTTGATTTGGATGGAAGTTATGGGTTCAAGGTTTGATGTTTGAAGGTTCATCAACTATGGATTCACAAAAAAAAAGAGAAAGTGAGGCTACAACCAGTCAACATTTAGTGGCCTTCAGAGAACTTGAGTTTAGAAAAGCCTTTCTTATTTGAAGTTACCTTAGAGGGTAAGTTTTGCTTTGCTTTGTTGTTGATTAATTGTATACTCACTTCCTCTTTATCTCTATGAATCCATCGTTGATGTACTTTTAAGATTCAAACATTGAACCTATGACTTCCATCCAAATTAACTTCTTCAAAGTTACATTGGAGAGTAAGCTTTGCTTTGCTTGGACTTAAGTTTATAATATTAATAATACTATTAAATTTACATGACTTAAGTTTAAGGGAGTCTAGTTGTAACATCGGACCTAAGAGCATTGGATGCGGGTTGACTATAAGATAATGTTATAAAAGTGCGATAATTAAATAAATTAATTAAGAAGAAACAAAAAAGAGAAAAACCAATATAAAGAAAAAAACTAATGAAGAAAAAGAAAAAAAAATAAATTAACTGGATTAACCATTCAAATCAGGTTAACTCATCAAACCTGAGATTTATATCATGAAAGAAAAACATTTATGGGTTAACCCATAATTAACTTGGTTAACTTGTTAAGCCAAGTTAACTCGTCAAGCCCGAGATATATATTATGAAAGTCTAATAATTAAATAAAAAAAATAATATTAATGAACTAAAAGAAAAAAATTAATTAAAAAAATTTCAGGGTAACTTATCAAATCACATTAATCTTTCAAATTTGGAATTTGTATCATAAAAGTCTAATAACTAAATAAAAAAATTAACATTAACAAACTAAATTAAAAAAAAAAATTCATGAAAGGAAAAAAATACAAAGAAAAAAGAAAAAAACCACAAAAGCATAAAAAAACAAAAAAAACAAAATAATTATAATATAATAATAATAATAATAAGGAAAGTTACAGTATTTTTCTACACATATTTATAAATTATCCATATTTTATTTAATAACCGATAACCCTTTCCCTCCATCCATCACCTCTGCCGCCTGTCCCGGCTTTTCAGCTTCCGTCCCATTGCCACTGCATCTTCCATTTATCAATAACCGGCGTTTCCCAATTTTTCCCTTACCCAATAAATTTAATTTATTATTCCCTATTTTTCAAATGACAAAGCAACACAACAACAAAAGCAGAAAGATAGCAAGAAAACTACGAGGAAGAGCTGGTAATTTCTGCTTTATCACTGTATATTAACAAATATATTTCTTTTCTAATTTTAGTTTATTTGTGTCAGATTCTATTATTTTAAAATGGAAGAATCTTCAAGATTTTCTATGGCTTTTACTTCAAAAGGAAATACAATTTTCTTTCATGACTTGGAGCTGGTGATAACAAACAACCAGTGCACGGCAAGAGGAGAAGCAACAGTTCTCCCTCAGAGATGTCCTAAGGGCATCATAATGAATTCATTCAAGAACTAATAGTAAGTTATTGCTGTTTTTTTTTTATTAACATATTGTTTATGTAGCTGTAATTTCTGTTTTTATTAAGTGATGAATTTGTTTTTTATTCAGAAAAAAATATCTTGTTTAAAATTAATATTTATCAGTTAATATGTCATTCGTTCAACTGTCACTGTATTTTGTTTCAACTGTTACTGTGTTTTTATTATCCAGTGGTGGGAAGCAGACTGGCTTCCACGTTCTGGCGGATTTCCCAATTAATGTGGAGGACAAGGATCCCCCGACAGCGCTGCCGCCCCGCATCCCGCCCCCGATGGCGCTGCCGCTGCCGCCCTTTTGCAGGCCTACGGTGTTGTCGCTAGCGCCGCTCCGCACCTCTACTGTGCTGCCTCTACTTCTCACCACTACACCACCCGCTCTGCCTGCTCTGGAAAAAGGCCCAAGAAAATTTTTGGGCAATCATCAATACTTAAATATTTTAAAAAGTGAATTTTATGATATTTATTTCTATATATTTTTTTATTAATTTGAATTGACATGTTGTGATCTCTCTTAGTTTTTATAATTATAATTTTATAATATTGTCATTTAGAACTTGAAAATTTATGGAAAAAAATAGTTCAAAGTTAATAACAAATTAAAATTAAAAATACAAGTTCAAAATTTTAAACAGTTACAGTTCAAAATTGATACAGTAACAGTTTTAAAGTCATCAGTGTTACCAAGTTTAAAATTAAGACAATACTTTTAATGTAATTGAGAGAGTAACAGTTCAAAATTGATGCAGAAACAGTTTAAAAGTCATTATTATTAGAAAGTTGAAAATTAAGGCAATAATTGTGACTTAATTAAGACAGTAACAATTCAAATTTGATTTAATTGACAATAACAGCTCAAACTTAAAACAGTAACAGTTCAAAATTGATACAGTAACAGTTCGAAAGTCATTATTGTTAGTAAGTTTAAAATTAAGACAATAATTTTGATTTAATTAAGACAATAATAATTTAAAAAATTGATTTAATTGAGACATTAACAATTCAAATTTGATTTAATTAAGACATTAAAGTTTAGACAATAACAGTTTAAAATTAAGATAAATTTTGATTTAATAAAGACAGTAACAATTCAAAAAATTAATTTAATTGAGACAGTAACAATTCAAAAAATTGATTTAATTGAGACAGTAAGAGTTCAAAAAATTGATTTAATTGAGATAGTAAAGTGTAGATAGTAACAATTCAAAATTAAGACAATAATTTTGATTTAATTAAGACAATAATAGTTTAAAATTTGATTTAATTGATAGAGTAATAGTTCAAAAAATTGATTTAATTAAGATAGTAACATATCAAATTTAGGACAGTAACAATTTGAAAGTCAATATTTACAAAAAATTCAAAATTAAAATAGTAATTTTGATTTTCTTAAAATAGTAACAATTCAAAAATTTAATTTAATTTAATTTGTTTAATGTTAAGATAAATAATATAAGTTCATTTGGATAATATATTATCTAAAATTAATGTTTATCAATTAATATCTCATTAGTTCCACTGTCACTGTATTTTATTTCAACTGTTACTGTGTTTTTATTGTCAGTGGCGAGAAGCAGACTGGCTTCCACGTTCTGGGGGATTTCCCAATTAATATGGAGGGCAAGGATGCCGCTGCCGCTGCCTTCTCCCCCCCACGGTGCTGCCAATGATGCTCCCCCCTCATGGTGCTGCCTCTGCTGCCCCCCTATGCTGCTGCTGCCTCCACCTCCCGCTCTGCCTATCGCACCAGCCACATCATTGTTGAAAGGTCCAAGAAAATTCATGGGTAATCATCTATACTAAATATTTTATAAATTTTATAATATTGATTTTTATGTATTTTCTATGAATTTGACAATATATAACAATATTAATGTCATTACAATATGTTGTTTTAGTTTGTCCAATGTTTACCAGGCACAAAATAAGCTCAGGCATAAAAAGCTCAACATTCACTTCAATTCACTAATGTGGCTAGGATGATATATCGGAACCGGCAAGTCAATGTATCCAAAATGACCTGAGAGAGGATAAATGAGCACATTTGAATTTGTTTTCAAGAAAAACAAAACAAAACAATATATAAATGAGCATGTGACGGAATTTACAAGCACGTCGCACTCGACGGGAAGGTATTACACTCAGGTCAGACCCCTCTGAAATGCGTCTATAAATCTTTGAAAACAGGGGATTGGTGTTACATTCCAACCGTACATGACGCTGATAAACACTTGGGTACAAGGTGCCCTGCCGCAGGAGGATTCTAATGCTAGTTGAATATTTACCACAACTCGGTAGTGGTTTGATATGCTCAGACAATTAATGACTACAAAACCCAACAGTTTGATCCATAACACATGAAACAAACCTCACAGGGGAGCAATGGTCGTGTAAAGTCATAACCATAGCAAAAACCATATGTTTCCTAGTTCGTAGTAGTGTCAGTAAAACATACGACCAAATAAGATTTCGTGGACTAGCAAGCATCAATCACTTCTGAACGCACACACCCCCTTGACATGAATGCATACACTTTAGGCATGTGGATGTATGAATTTTTGGTTCTGAGATTTCACCTCACCATGTGAGTTCAAGAAAGCTCTATTTAAATAATAATGCATCAACGGGGTATGATGATGGGGGTCCATTATATCATAATCATCATGCCCGACGTGTATGTTTTTGCATGGTGACGACTGCGCAACATCAGGGGACTGTTAGTATTAGTATACTGAAGTCATACCGTACTTGTATGAGTTTACTCCGTCTACACTTTTACATGCAAGAGCTGTCTTACGTGAGTGTACATTCTCGGGAGTAACAGTTACACGCAAGTCGGGCACGATATGAATATGTCTATTGATCTTACATTGAAGACAGACCCGACCCGCATGTGTTTCTTTACGCTTCCTACTTCGTTACACTAAAGTTGTGCCCAATATTTATTTGTTTTTACTCTAGCCTCATCGTTACACTAAACTCGTTCGCGGTGTGCATGTGTTTCCTGCGGTTAGCAGAAATCGCGTCCCACTTGTATGTCTTCACTACTTTTACAAATGCATGAGTTTATCTCATAATTATCGTGCCTTATATTCTAATGCTAGTGGAATATTTACCACAACTCTGGAGCAGTTTATCTCATATTAATCTATATGATTCAGAAAATACATGCAAAGTGAAGAGTGAGAAATAAAAAAATATAGAAAATACAACATGTCAATTCAATTCATTGAAATTCATAAAAATCAATATTTAAGGATAGATGATTGCTAAATATTTTTCTTGGGTCTTTTTACAGTGAAGTGGCAACGCATGAGGTGGGGCAGTAGCATGGTTGGGGTGGAGTAGTAGCAGTAGGGAGGTGGGCAGCAGCGGCAGCATAGCAGGGAAGCATCCATGAGGTCCATCACAAAGTGTGAAAACCATATCAAGATTTAACTGATTTCTTGTAGTTCAAAAGACACGTTGCAATTCTCGCCCGATATGCTTGTACTGTTTCAAAAGGTATGTTTTGTGGTATCACCTTTTCATTCAATATCATCGTGATGATATAAAGAACAATGATTCCATAGTCCTCCCTGTTTGTAAATAATGTTATTTTTTAAGATGACTAATTAAATAATAGTTTTTATGTAACAAATATGCTCATTTATTTACGAACAAATTTTTTGATGAATATCTTCATTTACAATCAGCTGGAATGAGTCCTTATCCCTTATCTTCCCTTCTTTTTCCGGCAGCTCTTGCCTCCTTTTATAGACATAGTCTTTCTACTCCAATTTAATTTGATGTAACATGATTTTTTATATATTATAAAGTAACATGATTTTTTTGTTTTGGAAAGGACAGTTACATACCACCAGTTCTGCATCCTTCACAAAGTTGGCTTCACTCTTGCTTTTGAGCCAAGAGTTGTAGAATGTCCATATCCTGGCTTCCACATCAAAGACAAGTAGCGTCCAGTGAAAGGGAGAGGCTTTGATATTTCCTCCCGCTGAATTCACAGGAAATATTAGGATCGATGCTTCTAACCCGTCCTTCAGCTCTTGCTGCAGTTGTGGGTTTGCCTCGCCCCTATGGCATTCGCGAACTATATGGGTCTGAAAGAATAATAATTTATGTTATCTTAAGTAATACTTCATTAGTTTTGTTTTTTCATACAATTTTAATAACTTACCTAGATTAAGCTGTCATGTATGATTGCTTTTCTTGAAGCTGATACCCCTTTTATTTTTCTCTCCTCTAACAGGAGAAAGCAAAATGCATCGATGACCTGCACAGGTGTATGTAAATTATCCATGCATATTCCATTGAAGTAACAAACAGGTTTAAGTAATGGTATACTCATATTATTTGAGATTGATTTTTCATGTAGGAGGTCTAAAATGTCATAAAAAAATGAATTTCATGCTCTTTTCTTCTCCTCTTTTCTTCTCCAACACATAGACAATCTCTGTAAAAAATTAAGAGTATAAGTTCAAAATTAGGACAATAAAAGTTCAAAAATAATTGAGTAAAGATAATATTAGTTCAAAATTGATACAGTAACAGTTTAAAAGTCATTATTGGCACTAAGTTCAAAATTAAGACAGTAATTTTGATTTAATAAAGACAATAATAATTCAAATTTGATTTAATTAAGACATTAACAGTTTAAAATTAAGATAGTAACAGTTCAAATTTGATTTAATTAAGACATTAATAAATCAAATTTAATTTAATTAATATAATAAAAGTTTAAAATTTAGACAATAACAGTTCAAATTTAATTTAATTAATATAATAACAGTTCAAATTAGATAGCCATAGTTCAAATTGATTTAATTAAGATAGTAACAATTCAAAAGTTATTATTGGTAATAGTTCAACATTAAGACAATAATTTTGATTTAATTAAAACAATAACAGTTTAAAAATTAAAGAGTAACAGTTCAAATAAGACAATAACAATTTAAAATTCAAATTAAATTTATTTAAAACAATAACAGTTCAAATTGGATTTAATTAAGAAAGTAACGATTAGATTTGATACCCTATTTTGAGCTCGGTAATCACATTTAAAGATTAAAGAGTAACAGTTCAAATAAAACAATAACAATTTAAAATTCAAATTAAATTTATTTAAAACAATAACAGTTCAAATTGGATTTAATTAAGAAAGTAACGATTAGATTTGATACCCTATTTTGAGCTCGGTAATCACATTCAATAAATCTTTGTTCAAATGTTTGACTGGTTGACGTTCAGCTTATTCTTTAAGTCTTCAACCTTTTTTTTTTCTTCCTGCCTTGTTCTTCCACCTTCACTATTTCCTTCTTCTTTATTTTTCTGGTTTCAAGGACTTCCATTGATTGCTCTTCTTTAGCTTCCTTTCCCCTTTTTAACTCTTGAAGAGTTATTATTGCGAGCTGGCTTTGTAAGTCCTCAATCCTTGCTTCCATTTTAGCTTTTTCCTCTTCATGTGCTTGGTTGATTCCTACATATTCCCTTTGCAGCTCTGCAAATTTTCTATTTTGGAAATCATTTTCTTTCTTAAGTCTTTTGACCTCTTTATCAGCATTTTTGAGTTGATCTTTAAATTTCTGATTTTCATATATCAGCTCATTCTCCTTGTTTAATGCTTCAGTGATTTCCATTTGCAGCTTTTCAAATTCTGCCTTTTGGAGCTGATCTTTAAATTTCTGATTTTCACATATCAACTCATTCTCCTTGTTTAATGCTTCAGTGATTTCCATTTGCAGCTTTTCAATTTCTACTTTTTGGAGATCCTTTTCTTCTTCTGCCTTCTGGAGTTGATCTTTCAATCTCTGATTTTCACACCTCAACTCTCTTATCTCTTTTTCAGCAAAAAAAGTAGCCTCATCCACTTCTCCCTTTTCTTTTTCTTTTTCTTCTTGTTCTGTAGCCTCATCCACTGCTTCTTTCTTTTCTTGTTCTTGTTCTTCTTCTTCTTCTTCCAACAGCTCCACAACTCTTTGAGCACCCAACATCGTAACTTCTGTTTCTGTGGGCTTCAAGTATACAACTAAAAACTGCATGAATGTGTAGACGGTAACATTATTAATGATATGATAATAAATGAAATGGAAAAGGTAAATGATCAGATTGAGATATTAATATACTATACATTTACAATCAGAAAGTAACATTTCAGAACTCTGAAATTCTGACTTACACTGACGTCTATGAATGGTGTTTTTCTTAATTCTGCTTCCAGGCCCATTAGATTCCATTTTGCACACCTTGGTATTCTTCCTTCTTCAATTGGTTCAATGATTTTGGAGTGCTCACAATACCAATACTGCAGAATTGAATTTTCATTGCTATTGAATTATATGATTTATGTTTGAACAAAAGAAATAGAATAGTAGTTGAATTTTTGTTTTTCTTACCGGAATCATCATCACGCAACCTATTACTTCGGTTGCCTCTTTTTCCTCCAATGATTTTTTAAAAAAATCAAAAATATGCTCAGTCCAATTATACTCTGCAATTCTCTCCATGTCTTCAACATATTCCAAGTATGCAAATGGGAGATTGCATCCATTGTTTGACAGAAAGAGGGACACAAGAAGTTTCAAGACCAAAACCCTGCAAATATCTTGGACATTTTCATCGGTGAGATTTTCACTTTCTATGCTACATAGTCTTTTGAACACTTTATCTATTTCTTTCCTTGTCAACCTTGCTACTTTTGGAAAGCAACGTTTTTCAAAAGCAGTCTTGTTTCGCATCCTTGCAGCCTTATTTTTTTTAAGATCTATCTGCATGTTTCCATCTCTGATCCCAAAAATCAATTTCATGTCCTCTGCATATATTTTAAAGTCCCTGTCATTAATCCTGAAAACTTCTTCATTTTTTACGTATGTTTGCAAAATCTGATATACAGTAAGGTCACTTTTTCTACATGTATTCTTATTTACACGCCCTTCCAAGATACATTCTATCAATATCCAGAATGGTGTCTTGATGAGCTCGTTTTTCACTCCTTTTGTGATGTTTGCCATCTCAACATCCTTGACTATTGCATAAAGGTTGGACTTGAATTGTGGACCTTTTCCCATGGAAACCATCTGCAAACCACATTTTTGTTTAAAATGATTTTGTTCAAGTAACAGTTGGAGCAACAAACAGTCACAGGACAAAAATTCTTTTCAAGCCATGTTTTCTTCATAGATTTAATCAGGTTTGTTAGTGAAAAACAATACATAAAGACAGTAACAGTTGAACAAATAAAAATTAAAAATCAGTTTAATTAGGTTTATTTGTTTTAGGGTTGTTTTTTTCAATGATTTTCATTAACAGAGAAAGATAATAATGACGTCAAAATTATTCAGAAATTACACAGTAACATTTGAAAACTGAGATAAACAATATATAAACATATCCTAAGTTTTTAAAAAACATTAATAGTTGAACCAATGAGTAAAGACAGTAACGATTTGCATGTCATTTTATACTAAAGAATGATGATTCATTTTGGGAATTTTGCGTTTACCTTTCGTTCTTCCGGTATCTTGTATTCTTTTCTTGGTTCCTGTAAGAAAAAGATGAGAAATAAAAAACCCTATAAAAAAAATTTTCAAGTGAAATTGCTAATATTTTTGTAGACAGTAACAGTTGAACAAATTACTAAAGACAGTAACGGTTTGCAGGTCACTTTCTACTAAAGAATGATGATTTGATTTGAGCAATTTGTGTTTACCTTTCGTTCTTACAGTGATCCTGTGCTCTGTCGTTCTTCTTGCGCTTATTGTGTCGGGTGAGAAGTTGTTGTTTCTGTAATGTACGATGAAGATGAGAAACAAAAAACTATTTCTGATGTTTTCCAGCGTTAGTACAAAAGGAGTGACATGTCATTGGGAATTTTTCATGAAGACGTTCAAATTTAATTTAATCAAGAAAATAATAGTTTAAATTTGATTTAATTAAAATAGTATTAGTTGAAAGTTAGAAAATAAGTCATTAATTTTTTAAATTGATTCCTAACAGTTAAAATTTAATTTAATTAAAACAATAATAATTAAGATTTGTCCGGTTATATATTACTCTAGAATGTAACAGCAACAAACACATACAAGTCATAAACGACGTGTCATTGTAAATTTTTTTGACTAGCTATAAATGATTGTCATTGTGTGTCGGACACGACATGAGTTGAATATAAATTTTTTTTTGAATTGTTTTAGAAATACTTTGGTTAAAAATGGCTTCCTTTTATATAGTTTATTTAAAGCTAAGTTTTTTTTAAAAAAATCTCTAATGTCAATAAATCAAATGTTAGAAAATCTCTTTTTTAAGTGTTTTTCGAAGTTCTTTAAATTGAGACTGAAAAGCCAAACATCACACACGAGTCGAGCTTACCTACTGAATTGATTTTCGAATTCCATTTAAGCGCTTTTCAAAGTTCTTTAATTGAGACTGAAAAGCCAAACATTAGCAGCTAAATTTTAGTCTAAGGAATGAGGTTGAAGAGCAAATCAAAGGTTAGTGTTAGGGTTCTTCTTCATTGTCAATTCAAATTTAGTTTTATTCTGAATTTATGTAATAGCGTAATCACCAAACTGATATTGTCTCTGTTCTCAATTGTCACTCTCTTATTTATGGGTTTCTAGTTCATATATTTCATTTGTTTTCAACTATGAAACAAAAAATGATCTTTCCATCAAATATAAAAGACATGCAAATCGTTACTATATAATTTTGATGTTGTACTTTATCTCTCTTTCTGTGTTAATGTATAGTTACTGTATAATTTTGATGCTGTTACTGGATCTCTCTTTTTAATGTTAATGTCTTATGATATTGGTTTAATGTTCAGAAGCTGAAAATCTATGAAAAAAAACTTGAAATTAGAAGGGCTAGGCACCTTGGATTAACCATTTCTCAAATTTTCAATCAGCAATGAATTATAGTATAACAAGGCATAATCTATTAACATCTACTATGTCCAACGTAGCGAACAAGTAGTCATAATTTACAAATTTCTTCACATTATATATTCATTTTTAGAAATTGTATTATATATGCACTTTTTAATTACATATTCATGATTCTATGATATGGTTTCTGGTTTATTTTACAGATAAATCTATTCACTCACATTACCCAAGCAGGTTCTTGGGTACCAGATCATGAAGTTTAAAAAAAACTGAAAGGTACAAGTTTAGATGTAATCCAAAGAATCTTAGCAACATTCCAGCAAAATTCTCATTTAATACAAGCATCGCTAGACATGTATAATGTAAATGAAGATGTATTTAGATTTGAAAACTTTAGTTTGTATTTAGGTTAAGAAGATGTATTATACATCACTAGTTTGCCAATAAATGACGAATCAGTTACAGGTATAGATACTAGTGATGGGGTAAAGGACTTTAACAAGTTTTTGAGAATTTCTAATTATATATATCATAAAAACAAGATAAAAAATTCTATAAATTATCATGGCTTAAGGAACATTTTGAACAAGTTCCTAGCGGCATAGATAAGGAAAACCCCAATTTTGTCTATTATGTTCGAGCATACACTTTGTTTCTTATAGGAACAATAATTTTTCCTGATGCCTTCATGCATGCTGTCCAGACACATTATCTTCAATTTCTAAAGAAAATTGGAGATATTGGCAAGTATATTTGGGATGCTGCTTTGCTAGCACACCTTAAATGCAGTATTAAAAAGTATAAGGAGCGTCACATTTGTTCCTTGGCTAGAAACAGTCTTGTTTTTCAGATAAGTAACTAACATATATGAGTTAAAATATTACTTTTCCTAAAATAAATACTAATATTTTATCCTTTCTTGTAGTTTTTTGTTTTTTTTTTCACTTTCCATCAGTTACAAGGGACGTGATTAAACCAATTCAACATGAGGTTCCTCTCATGGTGGATTGGACAATTACTCTGCAAGAATCATCAAGGAATAAACATGCAAAGAAATCATCAAAATACTATTCAAAACAATTGAATGAGGTGCAGGAGCATGAAGTAAACATTATATGCATAGAAATTAACGTTAAATGTAGTTTTTCAAGATGTGGTTTGTAGATGTTATCTCAAAAAATTTCATTGGTTATTATATGTATCTTTTGACCAAAAGTTCTTCTTATAGGTTATATGGAAGCCATATGAAAGCATCAAATTAACTTTATATTTGGAGAACCAGCTTCCGATAGCGATGTGCAAAACAATTCTCATTTTTTTTAATGAGTGTTTTGCACATCAACCTGATTCATGCCCGAGGCAGTTTGGATTATCGGAGGTTAGATCGAACTTGATAGAGTTTCCAAAAATTAAATACAAGAGGAGGTCTGCAGGAATAAAGGCTAAAATTGGAAAGATGGTTTATTTTCCTCCTATATTCAAATATGGAGATGCAAGAAAGAGCACTTAATTGGAAATCACTCTCACCCCCTTCAGCTTGTGGGATCACCTCCTTTTGCTTCTAGCTCCTCACCTTAAGTTTCTCAAGGTATTTATATTTTGTTATGCCACATTGCTGCCTTTTCTTTTCTTTTCTTTGTTTGTTGATTTACTTCTCTTGTTAATTTTTCATTGCAGTTGGAGCTATTCGATCACCTCCTCCTCCTGCTTTTAACTCCTCACCTCATGTTTAGGGTATTTTTACTTTGTTATGCCACATTGCTGCCTTTTCTTTTCTTTTATTTTTTTGTTTACTGATTTGCATCCCTTGCTAATTTGCTATTACAGTTGGAGCTGAGGGAACAACAACTGCCTGTGGTTCCATCTTTAGCTCCTTTATAGGGGCTGCTGATGGTCCCACCTCCACCCCTCTTCCATCAGCTCCTCCTGTTGTTGATGATTCTTTAGGTATGACTTTACTTTCTTAATTTTTAATATATTGTCATACCCGACTATTTCCTTTTGATATATTACTATTCAGAAAAAAAAACATTATTTGAAATGAATTTTTGTGTTGTTACTGTTTGTTGGTCCAATTGTTACTGTCTTAATGCTAATATCCCATCTATGTTGTTTCAACTACTGTCTTAGTGGTAATGGTTTTACTTTGCAAAATATAAAAAATAATAACATTTAATCATGTTTGTGACAATAGAACAAGCATCAAGGTGGATTCAAATGCATGCATGCAAAACATATGTTAGAAGAGGAAAAAGGAATCCAACTCCTCCTGTTGTTGTCGATGATGTCTTAAGTATGACTTTATTTTTTTTCTTAATTTCCAATATAATTGAGTATTTCCTCTTGTGATTTTTCTTGTCTTGTAATAACAAATATATCTTAGGTATGACATTATTTTTCTCTTAATTTTTCCATCCAGCTACTCCTCCAATCGAACAAGCACCTCCTGTTGTTGATGATGTCATAGGTATGATATTATTTTTCTCTTAATTTTCCAATATATCTCCATACCCGACTACTTACTCTTGTGATTTTTCTTGTCTTGCAGTTAGAAGAGGCAAAAGCAATCCCCTAACACCTTCATTTTTGCACGAGGCGCAATATTCTTTAGTTGTAGACAACATCAAACTTTCAAGAAGAAAGAGTTTATAATTTTGAATGTCTTTAATTTTAATTTAGTAAACAATATATTTTATAATCTATACTTCAAACATTGGACAAGATAAGAATATTAATGTCATTACAATATGTTGTTTTATTTTTTCCAATGTTTACCAAGCATATTCCATTGAAGTAACTAACTAGTTTAAGTAATTATACACCTACACTAATTAAGACAGTAACAGTTCGAAGTTTAGACATTAACAGTTCAAAGTTAGCCAATAACAGTTTAAAATTGATACAATAACAATTTCAATTTAAGACAGTAACAGTTTGAAAGTCATTATTGGTAGTAAGTTCAAAATTAAGACAGTAATTTTGATTTAATTAAAACAGTAACAGTCTAAAGTTAAGACAATAACAGTTCAGAATTGATATAATTAATATAATAACAGTTCAAATTTAATTTAATTATGACACGTTCAAAATTGATTTAATTAAAATTAAAGTTTTTATTTTTATTAAAATTTTATTTTTTATATGTTTTTTTATCACTGTAATATGATAATATAAATAAATATTTCAATAAATTAATACTATAAAAAGCAGTAAATATACAAACTAATATTATATATATATATATATAAATATTATTAAAACATGTGGGCTGGTCCGGCCCAGTTGACTGGGCCGAGATCAGCACCAGAAGAGGTGGGCCAACATCAACCCAAAATAGTTAGGCCGACGTTGGCCCAAAATGTTTTTTAATTTAAAACGGTGCCGTTTTAGACTGAAATAGAGATTCTTACTAAATTCCAATTAAGTCTTTTTTTTTTAATTTTTTTTTCGATTTAACCCCTAATTGACACTGAACTTTTGATTTAATGCAATGAAGCCCCTTCTGAACTTTAATTGGAACCCCAAAGTTAGGCGTCTTTTCCAATATGGTTCTTGGTCTTGAAATTTGTCAATTTAACCCCTAATTGACCATTAAACTTTTAATTTTTTCAATTTAGCCCCTAGTTTTTCTCAGTTAAGCCCCTAAAATATGGCGCCTCTTGCATATTGATCCTTGGTTAAAAGTAAAGTAGTTAAGATTATTAATTTATTTTATTTTTATAAGTATTTTAAATAATATAATTGAATTTAATTATGTAGTTTAATATTTTATCTTAAATATAAAAATTATAATATATTATCAAATTAAATTTAAATTATATATAGAATTGAATTTAATTCCATTCCAAATTAACTAAGCACTTGTATTGAATTAAGTATTGTTAACATTAATTATTAATTAATGCCGTTCAAAGTTTCTAAATTAGTGAGACCTAAATTGGACCGTACATCTATAAAATTCATTCATTGTATTTTGTCTTTGCTTCATATTATTTTGTCTTTGCTTCGTGTAATAATACTAACATAATTTTTACAACATGTTTAACCAAGTTTCTTTAGGTGAGTGTGTTTAATTATAATTGTTTTTGTGTTTGTGGTTTAAAAAATATTTTTTTTTTAAAATAATTTAATTGTGATTTAAAAAAATAAATTAAAAAAATAAATTTCAGCTTTTATAAAACTAAAGTTAAAACTATTATTTATAAATAAAAAAATATTATTTTATGATTAAAAAATGTATAGTGAAAAACTATGAATTTTTATTTTAAAATTTATTTTGAATAATATACAATATTTATGATGTGGGGGAAATCATTGTTCCCAACACCAAAATCAATTGTATTACAATAATAATCCACAGTATTTTTTTTTTTAAAATCATTTTTTTTTTCAATTTTTTTTGTTTTCTTTTATTTTCATTTGTTTTTTTTGCAAAATCAAAATCACTTTTTTTTTCAATTTTTTTTGTTTTTTTTATTTTCATTTGTTTTTTTTGCAAAATGTTTTTGTTGATTTTATTTTTTAAATATTGAGTTGGTTAAAAATTTTACTTTGTAATTTTTTCTTTAAAATACTGTGGATTTCTGTAATGTTTTCTCACGTAATTTTTTTTATTTTTTTATTTTTAAAAATTATATTTGTCGATTTTATTTTTTAAAAATATTTTAGTTTTGTAATTTTTTTCTTTAAAATATTATTAATTGCTACAATGTTTCTTTATGTGGTTTGTTTTTATTTTTTTATGATTTTCTCTAAAATTATTTTTTTATTTTATTTTTTAATATTGAACTGGTTAAAAATTATAATTATAATATGTGACAAAAGCACTTTAACTTTCCTTGCAAATTAATATGGATTGCTATAGTGTTTTTTTCTACATGGTTTTTTCTATTTTGTTATGTTTGTTTTTTAAATTATCTTTGTCAATTTTATTTTTTAAATATTGAGTTGGTTAAGAATTGCAATTACAAGTAAATACATGTTTTTCATCACAAAACACTATGGATTAATACAGTTTTTTCTTACATGTTTTTTTTGTTAGTTTTTTTTTTGTGTTTTTATTTTTTATAATATTTTTTTAAATTATCTTCATCAATTTTATTTTGTTAATATTGAATTGGTTATAATTTAAATTTGTAATAAAGCTTAATCATGTAGGGAAAGTACTATAACTTTCCTTACAAAACATTATGGATTGCTACCGTGTTTCTCCACATGGCTTTTTTCTTATAATTTTTTTTAAAATTATCTGTGTTAATTTTATTTTTTTGATATATAGTTGTTTGAGAATTACAATACACGTCATTACAAATAAGAATAAATCATGTGGGGAAACATTGTAACTTTATCACAAAACACTATGAATTACCACAGTGTTTTTAACGTGATTTTTTATGTTTTTTTATATTTTTTTAAATTATCTCTATTAATTTTTTTTTAATATTAAGCTGATTAAGAATTTAGCTTCATAATTTTTTTTAAAACACTGTAAATTGTTGTAGTGTTTTCCCATATGATTTTTTTTAAATTATTTTTATTGATTTTTTTTAATATTGAGTTAATTAAGAATTATAATTACAATAAAGCTAAATCATATAAGAAAAGCGTTGTGACTTTTCTCATAAAACACTGTGAATTGCTACAGCATTTCTGTAAATGGTTTTTTATTTTGTTTTATTAGGGAATGTTTTTCCTCAAAAAACATTGATAATTGCTACAATGTTTTTCCTCATGAGTTTTTTTTCCTTCCAAAATTATCTTTGTTGGTTTTTTTTTTAATATTAAGTTGATAAAAAATTTAACTTTGTAATTTTTTTTATTTTTTATTTACAGAAAAACTAAATCATTTAGCAAAAGTATTGTATTTTTCCCCATAAAACACTGGAGATTGTTACAAATTATTTCGTTCAATCTTTAAATTTTTGATCATCAACATAATCTTTTTTCTATTATTTTTCTATCATAAAATATTTACTCCATTATATCTTTAATTTTTATTATTTATTTAACAATAATTAATAATTATAACACTACTAAATATATTTATTTTATAAACCCGTTCTCGTTGATAACTAAAGCATGCCGGTAATAAATAATAAATAAAAAAAAAAACGTCTTTGCCTCGTCATGAAATAAAAATCAGGTAGGTAACTAATAATATCAGGAGAGAAATCGGCTCTTTAGGAAAACAAAACAAAAATAAAAAAGGGAATTTAATCCCTTGGGAATTCGATATTTTTAGCAGAAAGAATTAATCGGTTTCAAGGTCTCGCCCCCGCCCCCTTATTGAACAGAATCTTGGTTTTCAGGTATATAGTGATCTCAACACTGTCAACCGCACTTTCATCTTCCAAAAGTCAAGAAAGAAACAGAAGGATAGGATGCAGAATGAAGAACAGCTGACATGTAAAATCGAAGATTTAGCAAATTGTTGTGGAGGAGTAGATGATGTTATCATGCAAAAGCAATCAAGTATCCCATTGCTTGGCGACAAGGCAATTTCTCTCTTGTCTATGTTATTATTTGTTCTTTATTTTTAACAAATAATAATAATAATAAAATCTGATATTTTACGTATACGTACAAACAAGAAAAAACGCAATCACGGCATAATACGGCAATCCTCGAAAGTCCACACGCCTCTCACCTGCGTTGCTGCTTTTGTGACCAAGAAAACCAGGACTCTCATAAACCTCAATTGCTTTACAGCAATCATCCATCAAAACCAACGCAAGGTACGTACCTACGTCTACAGTACACCCATTCTTTCACCTTTTCTTTTTCTTTGTCAATGCAACAGTGTTTAGGTTTCTTTCCTTTTTGTCTTGGTGCTAATGTTGTGATGGGTTCGGGTAGGCAGGTATTGATGGCCTTGTTTGATTTGTCCAAAAGCTACATTCCCACATCCTTCAAAGGAAAGAATATGATAATATGGTATATGTAACTTCGTTGGGATTTTTTCTTACTTTTTTGTTGGGGATTTTTTTTTTAATTGTTTTTTCTTCTTGCACGCAATCCCTTTAAAGGAAACATAATGATAACATGTGACTTTCTCGGGATTTGTTTTTTTACTCCTTTACTTCTTGTTCATCAATTACATGATTCGATGCCTGTTTGAACAAACCCCAGTTCCCCAAAATAGTATTTTGTTCTGTCAAAGCACGTAAATAAGAAAAGGGTGCTGTTCTTTTATTGATTCCATTATTTTGTCTGAGGGTACATTAATTAACGTTATCAAATTATACTTTTTTTTTAATAAGTATTAGGAGGAGATCTAGGATTGTATGCAAGGAGGATTTCTTGAAAAGCTAGATCCAGTCATGGATGATGAAGGTGACCCATTTCCTCAGTTAGGGAGTGTGTACAAGAAAGGTTCTTGTTCCTATGTTAATCAGTTGAGTAAAAATGTGGCAAGTATGAATCCAAATTCTGCCCAAGATGGGAAGGTTGCTGCAAAGGCCTGGCCTGCTCAGAACTCTGCATCTAGTGCATGGGGATGTTCGAACTTGGTACAGAAACTGGGGGTGCAAAGCAATGCTTTGACAACCCAAAATACTACTTTTAAGAAGTCTCCTGGCAATGCAAATGAATTGCCTTTGCAACAGAACAATTATCCGAAACACAGACAGAATTTGTCTCAAGTTGGTTCTGCTTGTTCCAGTGGCCGGGAAGAAAGTCGGGCCAAGGATGAATCTGTCTCGAACCATCAACTTTCTGGCACTGGCAATGATGATGTTGATGGTTATGCGGTGTTTAGCAGTGATGATGATGATGATTTTCTCTTTGATTCTGATTTTGATTTAGATGCAAGTGAAAATAGCTATGATGTGTTGAAGAAGAGCAAGTGGTTCAACGCATTCTTTGATGATTTCGATAAACTCACCGTTGAGGAGATAAATTCAGGAGCAAGGAAGTGGCACTGCCCTGCTTGCAAAGGGGGCCCTGGTGCTATTGATTGGTATCGAGGCATCGATCCCCTAGCATATCACGCAAAGACAAAAAAGACAAGAAGGGTTAAGCTTCATCGCATGTTTTCTGAAATTTTGGATGAGGAAATGCATAAGAAGGGAGGTTTAGTAACTCCAGTTGGTGAAGCCTTCGGCAGATGGCAAGGACTTGATGCGAGAGTTAAAGACTATGAAATAACCTGGCCTCCAATGGTTTTGATAATGAACACGAGAGACGAGCAGGAGGAAAATGGCAAGGTAATTATGATTTCTCCTTTTCACTATGAAATGAATTATTTAACTTATATAAATCATTTTTTCCTCTGAAATGGATTCTAGCAGTGGATTGGCATGGGAAATCAAGAACTTCTGGACCACTTCAACTCATATGCTGCACTGAAGGCTCGCCACTCATATGGTCCACAAGGGCATCGAGGAATAAGTGTACTGATTTTCGAGAGCTCTGCAGCGGGTTATTTAGAAGCGTCTCGCCTTCATAAGCATTTTATAGATCAAGGAAGAGGCAGAGATGCTTGGGATGGTAACCGGGTTTCATTCTGTACAGGTGGTAAGCGCCAGCTCTATGGTTATATGGCTTTGAAGGAAGATTTGGATATCTTCAACCAGCATTGCCAAGGTCCTCTCTCTCTCTCTTTCTGTGTGTGTGTGTGTGTGTGTGTCTGTCTGTCTGTCTGTCTTTTTCAGGATATTTATGTCTGTTGCTATGCAGTTTGAGAAAAATACCGTGCTCGCCAAGCCCAATAATGTAAAATAATTAATGATGTTGGCGGAATATTCATCTAAACTGACATTCATAAGATGAGAATGAACAAAAACATACTTGTGCATATAGGTCCGCAACAATAGGATCTAGATTTTAGAGTTTAAAATGGGATCTAAAAACCATGTTAATAAGTTTCAGAACTGAATTCGGTGCTGATTTCGAAAGTGTGAGTAGTAAATGTGAATTCCTTAATTTCTGATGCCTGAATGTTGACATTTATAAATGACATATTTCCTCAATAGTCTTGACTGTAAACTGCTGAAGCAAGATTTCACTACTCTCTGATTCTTGGAATGCTGGTAATAACATCTGCAGCCACGTTTACCCTTTTATGAAATTGATTAGGTAAGAATAAGCTCAAGTTTGAGACGGTGTCATATCAAGAGATGGTTGGAAGCCGCATAAAGCAGATAAATGAGGATAGCCAGATGCTTGTCACTTACAAGAACAGGTTCGCTGCAGAACATATGCAGTCACAAGCTCTCGCAGAGTCCCTGTGCAGATTGAGTGAGAAACTGAAGAAGACTGTGCAAGAAAATCGCATTGTGAGAGAGAGAACTAAATTGCTGCATGAACAGACCAAGGAAGAGGTAACATCTTTAAATTGCAAATTGCTTTTATTGTTTCTGTTTCTTATAGTACATCTCTCATTGCCACGTATGTGTTCACATCGTTGCTTCAATTTGCTTCCAATAAAACATTTTTACTTCTTCTGGTTTCTCTCTCCCCTCTAATGATTGAAAGATCTGAATTCAAAATAAAAACACCTTTCTGCATTATTTATGGTTCACTACTTTGCTCCTCTTCTCCTTTTGTCTTGTATGTATCAGGAGTTTCATCTCCTGATTTACTAGATCTTTTTCAACTTTCATCATCAAACCAGGAAACTTTTATGATACGGTTGTTATTCTGCCGCCCGATCGCAATTTAGCCTTCTCAACCATGATGAACAAATTGGGTCATCTACACTGTACTCCTTGGGAAATTGAAGGATGCATTAATTTGAAGGAAAACATAGCTCTTGGATGGTGTAATTCATGCGTGTTAAGAAAATCATAGTAATAATAGGACTATAACTGGCTGGAGGCACACGGCACTTTCTGCACTCCAAGCTACTTCATAATACCTTGTCCATATTGCATTCTTTACATCTGCTTTCTCTGTTCTGAGGCATTCTTTTCCAGATGGATTCCCAAGAGAAATTTTTCAAGGATCAAATCAAAGCTATCCATCAGGCTATAGATGCGAAAGAAGAGAACTTCGAGAAGTTACAGCTGGCAAAGCTAGAGAAAGTTAAAGAGTTAAATGCAGATCCATCTAAGGAAGAGAATGTGGACAGGTAACACTGTAATGGTGCCTTAGCCAGGCCAGACAAGCTAGAGTTATCTATCTGAGGCATTCACTCCTATTTCCCTTTCTTGAGAAAATGATCAATTTCAATAATAGACAGTAACAAAGTAAAAAAGAATGTGTCATCTTGTAGCATAGCAAACTGTATGCTCCCAGGCTTGCTGGTTAATTTATCTGGCAGGTCAGGGGTTCAACCTAGTCAATCTTCATCCCCTCTCCCCCTTTGTAGACCAAAAGAAAAATACTTATGCATCCTTAGTAGAAAGCAATGAATTAAAGAGTCACATCTACCTTTGGTGGTTTAAGAAATGGAGGGCTGTTCATTTTAATGGTAGGAGTTAGAAAAATACTGAATGGAGAAACTTTTACTTGTGCAGAATATCTGTAAACTTGTAATGTTTTTGAAAATTCTGTGCAAATAGGGTGAAGGACATCAACAGGTTCATAAAAATACAGGATAAAGAGATGGAAGAATTCGAAGCAGAGAGAAAGAAGCTGATAAGAAGGCATGGAGACGAGAAGGCTGCACTTATGAAGATATACTGGGAGGAACTCCTTGTGCTGGAAAAGGAGTTTGAGGATGAACTAACCCTGCTTATTGACAAGCATACCCCAAATCAGGATCACCCCTGATGTAGAGACCAAGAAACAACCATCAAATTTTGAGCTGACGAGAGATAGTCAAGAATTTAGCGAAAAGCAATCTTACACACAGGATACATACGAGAGCAACAAGAAAGACATTCATCTTGTCATCATTTTTGCAAAACTTCATCAGCATTCCCTTCCAGTTCTGTTTTACAGCGGCAGAGTTTAATGATCGATGTGGAGGTGCGCGGATTAATGGAGCCTTCACCTTCAAACTCAAAGGGGAGGGCTACAAGTTTCAAAGAATCAACTGCGATTTTTTACATGATGTCCCCATGCATACCATGCAAGAGTCCACCTTTAACTGAGGCTTTCCAGTGTTCTTTCTGTCTTTTGCAATTTTTAATATTCTTAATTTTTCACTTGATGATGTGGCATATTTTATGTCCCCATGGACTCCATGAAGTTGGTAAACTTTAGGAGATACGGAGGCAATCATCAATTCCATTAGTTTGTGGAGAAATTAATACGAACTACAGTCAAACAATTCAAAGTATTGCAATTTATTTATGTGACAGTGAAAATTGATTTTCTAGAGGAAATATATAAGCTCATTGGAAAGGTGTTTCTAAAAAAATTATTTAATTTATTTATAATTATTTTTTAATATTTTTAAATTATTTTGATATGTTAACATTAAAAATTATTTTTTAAAAAATAAAAAATATTATTTTAATATATTGTTTATCAAATAATATTTTAAAAAATATCAATTATGATACTTTTAAATACTATTATAATAGCAAAAGCAAAGCAAGCAAGTATAGTTAAACTTATCACTACAGTGATGATAATTTAAAGTTTAATTTATATATTTTTTAATTTATTTTAAATATTAAATTGATTAAATTTGAATTATTCTAAAGTCTGCTCATGATTTGAGTGATATAATGAATTAGATTTTGTCTTTGTTGAAAAGTAGTATTTTTTTAAATTAAATTTTAAAAAATTGAATTATTTTTTGATATTTAATAGTGTAATGAAAAATAAATTAAAAAATACTTTTCAGTATTTGGTTATGTCATAGAAAATGAATTGGAAAATAACTTGTTAATGATTTATTTTTCTCAAGTTTATTAAAATAATGAGGAACAAATCTTAAAAATTTAAAAAACAATTGAATGAAAATGAAATTGAAAAAAATATAATTTTATAAATTATCTCAAATAAAATAAATAATAATTAAAATAATAGAAATCAAATATAAAAGATAAAGAAAATAAAAGATGAAAAAATAAAAATAAAAATAATTAATATTTTATAAATTATTTCAAATAAAATAAGTAATAATCAAAAGAATAAGGATCAAATTTGATAAATAAAAAATTTCAATAAAAAAATAATAGAGAAAAAGAAAATAACAATTATAAAAATAAAGATCAAAGTTAAAATAAAAATTAAATTTTAAGAGATGAAATTAAAAAATAAATATTTAAAACAAAATATATATAGCAATAAAAAATTTAAGGATTCAATGTAATATAATCAGTAAATAATATGACATTTCTAAATTTTTCTCAACTTTTAAAAAATAGTTTTCCTCTAAACTTTTCAGGAAAATATTTTTTTGGATATCAAGTAAAAATTTTTTTAATTAAAAAATATTTTTTATTAATCAATTGTTTTTAATAATAAATAAATATAAAAATAATTTTTTAAAAAATAAATTACAAGAAAGAAACATCGTCTTAATTTGAGATGCAGTTAATTTCCTGAGTTAATAAAAACCTAACTGATTGAAAGAAACTCAAGTGATACTTTATATTTGGTCAAAAAACAAATATTTAAAACTTTTTTCTAGAATGATATCGTTGCTTTTTTGTTTTTTTTTTTAATGGAAGACGATACTGTTTTAGGATTGACATTGATTGACCCGACAACCTTAATCGGGTGCGGGTCTGACAGCCGTGGTACCATCTTGGTTACATGGGCTTGTGCCATTATTTCCATATATTATATAAACGAAATGCCCGAGCACGCTCTGTCTGTGACTGGGAGTAAAATAATGGGACCAAAGACAGAGAACAGGAAGCCAGTGGCTGTGTTCATGGCTTTTGGTACGAAGGGCGATGTTTACCCTCTCTCTGTAAGTATTTCTTCTTCCAATGGGATTGCTAAAATATCTCCTTTTTTGTTTTTGGTTTGTCTTTCCAGTTAGAGTCGAAAAATCAAGAATTTGTTGTGTTTTCTTGTTCTTGTTTCAGGCCATTGCTGCTGCTTTTGCTAGTGATCAGAAACAATACCGTGTGGTTCTAGTAACACATTCAGCACATCAGGTTTGCATTGAAATCCTCCTCATCCTCTTTGGTTTATTGCTTACTAAATAAAGGTTCTGACAGCCGCGGTACCATTTTGGGTTCATGTGAATATTCCGTTTCTTTCTCTTTCTTTCTTTTTTACTGATAATTTTTGTTTGTACAAGACCTGCTGATGTTATAAAATGTTGGGTTTCTTGCAGAACTTAAGCTCTCACTTGGAAGAAAGACGTGTTACGTTCTTAGGAATCAATTCACCACCTGTTCTTTCTGTTCGCGACAATTATGGTTGTTCAGGTTCTAATATCAATGGTTATGCTATCTTTGCAGTATATAAGAAGGCAAATCTTGTGGGAATGGGATTAGTTTTATTTTTACATTGAATTAACTAACCACTCTGCTGTAATGGACTATTTCTTTAATAGGATCACAGGAGTTAGCTTTTTCACAACAAAAAATGATAGCCACAAGAGAGCACAGACAAGAATGCTATTCAGCAGTTGAAGGGATTTTTGGACATGGTCCAACCATGGAGGGTGATTTTATCTTGATAAATTTTTTTGCATTGGTATTTCTTGGAAATTCTGGTCCATAGAAGCTCTTCTGATACGTTGAAAATATAGCCTGGATTTATATGGCTTTCTTGATGAAAGTATCAACCTAATAAAGGAAAAATTTGCTTTGCATTCTGGTACAGGAAGGGTGGAGCCTTGCAGAACTTTTTCATATCCGTTGTGTGGTAGCTGCTCCATATGTTGTTCCATACAGGTGGTGATATTTTCTCTGAATTCTCTATTTCTTAATGACTTGCCAATCATAGTATTGAAGGACATTTTGTGTTTGGTTTTTCTCCAGTGTGCTATTATTATGTATAGGCACGCATAATAATTTAAGTAACACAGATACAGTTATAAAAATGTATGCGTATATGGCAGTGGATTATGTGAATGTAGAATTTATTTTTATTAAATGACAATTGAATAAATTGTTCCTCAATGTTGTTTATCCATATAGAGAAAAGAGAAGAGAATATACATGTATATCTATTATGTAATTTGAATTGTTGGTTACATGCATGATTCAAAATCCCATATTGATGAAATAGCAACAAAAGCTATTATAGATATTAGTGGGAAAATCTACAACCAAACAATTCAAGCTTTTCATCAAGCACAGGTTTCAATTCTATGCTGGTGGCTCCAAAAGCCAAGCAGGTGTAGGGTGTGGCTAGAAGTTGGTACAGGATAACTAACAATAAGGGCGTGTGAGCTTCCACTCAAGGGAAATGAATCTTGGAGTGGTCATTATATCATACGGAATGCCACATTAGCGGGAGACTTCTAGAGTATTTTTGTTTGCCCAAAGTCATATATTGAAGGAATAGAAAGAAAGTTGAATATAGGTATATGCGGGAATACTAATAACCCATTGTCATAAGCACTTGTATTTAGATAATGTGTTAATATTTAGTTACTTGCAACATTTTGTGCTATATGATTAGTTGATTTTGCTGACTTAGTTGTCCTAAATAAATGTCCAAACCAAGCATTGAATATGCATTAGATGTTATCTGAAGGGGTTGATGTATTTAGTCACAAGAAATTTCATTCTTTCTGCATGCATTTTTCTTGAGATTATTGTTAGGACTCCCTTTGCCAATAATTCTTCACATATGACGTGGTTACTAATTCCTACAAAATTTTACAATGCGACTTTTGGATTTATGTAAAAACTATTCATGTAAAATTCATAATAGTCATGTTTGGTTTGTCAATATGGACATCCACACCATAAGCGAGACTACACAAAGTTCACAAATGCCACAGCAGTTTCTCAAGGCATATTGTAGATATACCACTAATGATGTTGAATATTAATACTTTTCATCTGTAATGTATGTCAAATTATAATTTTATAGATGAAAAATTTGGTGACTAGATATCTGAAGATCTAAAGTTGCCTAGTTGCTGGTTCTTTATGTCTATGCTTGCCCTGTTACTTAGTTGTTTACTGTTTTTATCTGCTTCTAACTTAAGGACTGCATCCTGTTTGTCTAGAACTAAAATTATCAGGTTACAATGGACAATGGTTTTTCTTGTCCTTTGCGTTTTGGTAGTCACATAAACGTGTTTTGTGGAATTTGATGTCTGGCACCAGGCACGGTTGCTTCTTTGTCAACCTTGGAATCTTTGGAAATTCATGGAAACGTTCATGGAAACCATCATTTTCCTGTCTTTTTCCACATTTTCCCCACTTTTTAATGCAAATTCTCATAATATCTTGTTCATTAGTTTTGCTGTAAGATGTGCATATCTAGATAGTTTATTTTGTTGTTAAATTTTTCCAATGTATGGTTAACTCTTTTTGTGTGCTTTTCAGTGCACCTTCCTTATTTGAGAGTCACTTTAGAAGAGAGCATCCTCTTTTATATAAATATCTCCAAGAAGCTGACAGTAATCAGGTGCTTCGAACTCCTCATGTAGAACCATTTTCTTGTAGAACCATTTTCTTACTTGTATAGCAAAAACTCCTCATGTAGAACCATTTTCTTACTTGTATAGCAACAGCATAATGTAGGTCTTTGTCTCTTGCTTTCTCCTATCATGTTTAAATAGGTTTATGATGTGCAGCTTGTGTACAAACTTTCTAACCTTTTTATGATCATAGGTTTCCTGGAAAGATGTGGCTCATTGGATGTGGCCACTTTTTACCGAAAACTGGGGATCATGGAGAAGTGATGATTTGTATCTGAGTCCTTGCCCTTTCACTGTTAGTGATTTTGGATATAAGATTTCCTTTTTTTCATGGAATGAAATTTATGATTGCCACCTCCTGCATGTACATTGATTTTATGAAGCATTGTTACCTTGTTGTTAGGGTATATTTAAACTCATTAAATTTCTTATACTGAATCCAGGATCCAGTAACAGAGCTTCCCACTTGGCATGATAGGCCACCATCTCCCTTACTGCTGTAAGTTGCATTTTCTTTTTCTACCAAAAACAACCGCATAACATAATTCTTTATTATGATTACAAGCAAAGCAAAAGGATGATTGAGCCATTGTGGCACAGCTAAAGAATTTAGATGGTTAGCAAAAGGTTTTATTTCCATGGCATTCAAAACTCCCTGTGAAAGTAGAAATGGATTATTTTAAATGATTTATGAATCAATTCCCATGTCTGGCTAGAACAAATGAAGTAAAAGTGATTTGAGCCAAAGGAAAAGCAAAAGAAAAAGGAAAAGCATACAAAGTAAACATTATCTGCCATTATATAGGTTGAATTGGCACCATTTTCTCATGCTTTAAATGTAACTAAGAATGACACCAAAATCTCATGATTCATATGCATTCTGTCTTCTTCTTCTTCTTCTTTTGAAAAAATTATTGGATGGGTTAATTAAAAGTTGAACACATTAACCTGTATTTCTATCTCTTTGATTTTTTTGAGTAAATTACAATAAGCTCTTGAAACATCATGAAATTACAGGCATTACAGAAGAGTTTAATGATTTCCCAAAAAGCTTCTCCAAGTTTAAGAAAATACTACAAAACACATGTATGCCCCAAATGCCTCTAGTTATACTAAAATGCCAACATTGATTGAAATTTAGTGTTTGTCATACATTAGCTATTTTAAATACTTTGATACTATTATTTCAATTTTAGTTAATGAAAATTACTTATTGAATAAAAAATTCATTAGGATAATAATTCTAATCATATTCCTAAATGATTTTTCCCCTAAAAAAACCACCCATTCAGTCAATATGCTTTTAATTTGTTTGATATTGGTTTTAAATTCGAATAAAGACTGTATTGTACTATGTATTTGAATATCATCAAGTTTCTTCATCATATATATTCATATGTTTTTTAAGTTAGGAGCCAATAGTTTTTTTTTAAATTGAACATAAATTCATAACTTCTTCTTCTTTTTTTTTAAATTGAACATAAATTCATAAATATTTAAATGCATATATTAAGAATATCAATAGATGTTTTGTCTTGATGAATTGTTTGATTTTTTTAAAATGATATTTTTATTAATTTGTGAAGTCTTAATATCAAAATAATTGAAATAGCTATGTTGAAACAAAATGTAACTTGAAACTTGTAAGGATGTTGTGGGTATAAATTGGGGTATTTTGGTTATAAAGTGTTTCTATAGTATTACTTAAAATGGGGTATATAGTCAAATCACCGAACTTTTGGGTTTAGCTTGTATTTGGATGTTACCTAAAGGAAATTTTTGAACTTATTTTGTTTTTGCAATAGGTATGGATTTAGCAAAGATATTGTTGAATGTCCAGGTAATCTCATTCTTTTGCTCCTTTAACATGAAAATTTTACTTTATGTGTTCCCTCTTCTCCTTTGCTTTCATTTTCTTTTTTCATTCAAATGACTGTAGACTTTGTGTTTTGATGACCATCATAACCTTATTGCATGTGAAATTTCCATGGCAATTTATAATCCATATTTTTTGCTTCTCATTTTTCTATACAAAGAAGTTATTTTATATTACTCTTTGTCTTTGTTATCCTTGTTAATTGTGAGAAACATTTAAGCACATCAAGGCTTTATCCTATTATGTGAATCCCAATGTTTCTACTATATGTTTGATGACTCTCTGAGCAATTCCAATAGGTTTAAGATTTAGCCTAGGCTTGGACCATGGTTGACGCATTATCCACTATCATCTTCTCTGACAAGTCTTGCTTATTTTTGGAGAAACTCACCAAATTTCAATCACATTTGCAGGCCACAACGTAAAACCATATTTTTCAGCTTTATTTTATTTTATTTTATGAAAAACACTAGAAAATACTACCTTCAACCTTGTAAGCATAAATCTAACCTCAAAACACTTTTTTAAGCAACAAATCAACACAGAATTTCAATGTAAAGTTTATGTATCTAAAAGTTTAATCCATATCTCTCAAATGTTGTGATGAAATTATATAATTTTGGTATCTGTGGGTTTCTTTCCATAAGAGCTTTCATTTGATGGTGATATTGGCTGGTTTTATGACACATTTTATCCATCCAAAATTTTCTCTCTTCTCAATATCTTTCCAATTTTTAAAATGATAGTGTTTTTATGTTAAAATAAGCCAAGTTTACAGTGCTTGGGTATTCTTACTTTGAGGAATAAGCATACTACAATTGAAAGTTCAGGGGCTTAATTGAACTGTTTCATAGATGAAGAAAGTTGTACAATTGTACAAGGGTATTGTCAACTGTCAATGAGATGATCATGTGATTGATGTCGTGCTTCCCCATTTCCATTATCACTAATAATAGCATGTTAACAGATTATTGGCCATCAAATGTCCATGTTTGTGGGTTTTGGTTTCTTCCTACTGAATGGCAGTTTTCATGTAAGAAATGCCAAGAAATTTCAGAACTTTCTTATCCTGGAGATTTGAGGACAAAAGATGAAGTGTGTTCAGCTCATGTCAAGTTACAATGTTTTCTGATAAATCCAGCATCAACACCTCCTGTTTTCATAGGACTAAGTTCTATTGGAAGGTAGGTTCGTTGCTTTTTTGTTTATGGACTATTTATGTTACAACATTTTGGTATGTTCATCTCTTCCTTGAATTTTTTCTTAAACTTAACAACCGCAATGTTAGGTTGAAAGAATATGGTTAATTGGCTATAAAATCAACATCACGTGAACATTGTAAGCCTAGCATGGATGTCAATTTTGTTTTTGAATAGACCTCTTTTAGTTTATTTCATTCACTTGTTTAAATTGTCAGTGGTGATCTTTTCTTGAACCGTGTTTCACTTTTGTTTACAGCATGGGCTTCTTGAGGAACCCTCAAACATTTCTTCAGGTAATTCAATCTGTCCTGGAGATCACAAATTTCAGATTCATCCTTTTTACTGCTAGCTATGAACCTTTGGATGAAGCTGTCCAAGTTATTGCCACTGAATCATCACATTTTGATAAAAGAAAGTACCTTGAAGAGGGAGTCTGTCTCTTTGATAACCGCCTCTTTTGCTTTCCTAAGTGAGTATATTTCTTGATCCCTTGAAGCATCATATTTAAATAAAAAACAGTAACTTCTTTGTGCAATGCTATCAAGATGTATAGGCGTGGACATGTGGCATTAATATCATTTAAATATTTGGGAATAATTTTTTTTTCACACCCCATCATTCTTATGTTTATCTAATGTGCCAAAGTGGTTCTTATGTTTATAGCATGACAAATATGATGACATTTGTGTCACAGATCCCTGTGTTGTCAGGGAGATTAAAATTCATTTTAGGTAATGATACATGGGTTTTTCAGACATGTGCCCTTATTAACAACTTGTGGAACTTGCACTTCCTAATATAGGTTGTTAGAATTTTTAACTATAAAGAATTAGAAGGTTAAAATTAACCTTTAATAAAACTAGATTAATGTTAAAAACAAAATTGAGATTTTGCAACCATCTGATGTATCCATTATCAACAACAAAACAAAATGGTACATATCATTTTAAATTGATTTTTCTAACTCTATTAAGTCACCAAATCCACTGTCTGATAACAATTATTTTATTTAACTCTATTATCTAAAAAAAAAACGTTGGAAATAAATTTATTTTAACTATATCATGTGTAAAAATTGAAATCACCTATAGATCTAAGAAAGATGACAACTTTAATTTCGTAGGTAAATTAAAAAAACACCCTTTATTTAACACATACACTATAATGGTGGTTTTTTTTTAATTCCCATATTATCCAAACTAAAAGAAAGAAGTTTTTTTTATTTTTTTATTCCCATATTATCCAAACTAAAAGAAAGAAAACTGCTATCTGTTAACTGTTCAGTCAAAACAGGGAAATCAATCAAATGTGCTCTTGTTTTTATTTTCTTAATGGATAAACAACATAGTACAAAATCTCAATTTTTTTATATAGTACTCTAATATAATTAAAAGTTACTTTTGACCTTTAAAAATTTACAGTTTAATATTGTAACAACTCCTATAATTGAGGAAGTGTAACTTCCACAATTCTGAACTTTGCTGTTAGGGCACATGTTAGAAAAACCCACGATACTTTCATGATAAATTTATCTTGATTCGGTCACTATGTTAGTTTGGGAATTTGATCATGCATCCTGTGCCTGAAAGTTTCTAAGGCATGCAGCTTTCCTGGCATAAATGCAAAGCCCTTTAGTGATGGGCATCTGAAACTGAGAATTTTGAGCTTTAATAAGCCTCTTGTTGTTTGATCTAGACTTTAATTTTGATGGAAGAGAGCTCTGCTATGGATTAGAAGGGAAGGGAGATGTTGTTTCTGAACTTTGTGGGCAAGCACTATCATGTAAGCAGAGAGTATTCTAGTATTTGATCCCAACTGAGAGCTCTGCTAGAAATTAGAAATTATTTAAGTGAGAGCAAGATTTTTCATTTTGAAACCCTTAGGGTAAGTGAAATATTCTGAGGTTTAACATGTATGAAAACATGCAGCATAATACCTTGTTTTCTAGGGTGAATTGCTGAAATTATAATTCTGTGATGCTTATAGAAGTATTTGTGACAGCAATAGATTATATGAGATTGATTTAGCACAATACTAACTACCAAAGACAATAAAACCATGTAGATGATACCTTCAAGGAGCATTATTCATTGACTATGCAGAAGAAACACTCTTCTCCTCAAATTGAGTACTAGGTGCACATAGCCTTTAAAACCCTCTTATCATGGCTGCATTAATTGGTAAGGTAATTGTTTTGATTATATGAATGACCCAATTTTATCATGCTAAACAGTATGGTACCTTACCAATGGCTATTTCCAAGATGTGCAGCTGCAATTCATCACGGGGGCAGGTGAGACTCATTATGTTATTTTATTTCATTGAAATTTTAATTTCAGCACATGACATGGAGAAGAACTAATTAATTTTTCTTTTTTGTTGCTTCTCTTTGTCTGTAAATTAGTGGATCCACTGCTGCAGCACTACACGCTGGCATCCCACAGGTTTGCCGAATTGCAAACCCTTGCTTTATTTCATTGTTGTAGAACTCAAATAGTGTGCGAGTTGTTTTACTCTTCAAATTTTTTTCTGTGCTGCTTTGGTCAAGGCATGCCAAAATAAATGATATTCTTTACAAGTCCAGAATGAAATTCTGATAAGACTAGCATAATACCACCCTATTGGTACAGCCATGTCCACAGAGAGGAGTAGGATGGAGGCGTACATTATTGGAAGAAATAAGGGTTAAAAGGGGTGTTTCAACAGAGAGCCATTTGATAAAAAAAAAAAAAATTATGGATGAAGGTGAAAACTCTTTGATTAAACCTTTGGTAAGAGAAAGCGAGCCCATGATCAGAAACCTCATTCTAGACTCAGTTCCTGGTGCTTGAGCAGCTCTCCTGACTTTCTGTTATTTGTCATTTACTTTTTTTGCAACTATCCATCAATTGTTAAGCAAAACCCTGCAAATGGATTGCAACGCAATATTTTTGTCTGCTTAGAAGCAATCTTCCCTTCTTGTCTGCTCACTCTTCATATTGATCTTGCTGAACTGGTATCATTGTCTCTCAGCTAGGTTAGACATTTAAGATACAGAGTAATGTTGTTGGTAAGATTTCCTTAGTTTGCCAAAAAGTGTTACAACATGCTAGACTCTAATATGGTACTGCAATTTTGATACCATAC